GTGGGGGACCCCCTCCCCCCGCCAGAAGGGGAGCATCGGGAGGGGTGGGGGTTCACGTGGCCATGAGGTAAGGGGAGGAGGAGGCCACAGCTGAGGGGTGCGGGGTTCTGGGGACTTCAGGATGGGCACGAGGTGAGCAGGGAAGCACGGGGTCCCCTGCCTCAGCAGCCCCCGGGGCAGCGCTGTACCTTTGACGTGCTTGTCCTGGAACTCCGTGAGGAAGCGTGTGATGCGGTCCGAGGGGATGGCGAAGGAGATGCCGGCCGCCACCTTGAGCGTGTTGATGCCAATGACCTCGCCGTCCTGGGCGGGGCGGTCAGAGGGGCGATCACCCGGGAGCCCGAGTACCAAGTCCCGCGTCTGCCCCGAGGCTCCCAGGGCAGTCCCGAGCTGTCCTGGAAAGGCCCTCTGGGGTTCACCTCTGGGTCAGGGACCTCCCTACCTCTCCTTCCAAACCTGCCCCTCCTCTCCCCTGCTCAGATCTGCCCCTTAGGCAGTGCCCACCGAGGAGGACACCCCCTACCCGGCAGCATCCAGAGGGGCTGGAGCCCGGAGAGGGCGTGACAAGGCCTCTGGGACCGGAGCTTCTCTCCCCAGTGCTTCCAGAAGTGGAGCTGGGGGCACGTGGCCAGGGCAGCTCTCCAGCACCCACCCACCCTGTCTGTCCCCCAGGAGCTGGCCTCCCACCCCACCCCTGCCCTGCACCCCCTCAAGGCTACGGCCTGGGTCACCAGACACCTCGTTCTTGACACCCTCCCAGGAAGGTGCTCCTCCTCCCAGCCTGGCACGTACCCCTGTTTTTCCGGCCTCCAGCATAAAGCCCACGGGCATGAGCTTTTGTGAACGCCCATGCTGGGGCTCTGGTCCTGCTGCACTCCTCCGGGGCTGCTCGGGGGCAGGGTGAAGCTCCCTCTGAGCCCTCCCGCCCATGCTGTGCCTTCTCCCCGGCCTAGCTTTCTCCTGCATGTCCCCTCAACCCCAAACCCACAGTCTCCACGGCCCAGATGAGATGCTCCCGCCTCCAGGAAGCCCTCCCTGCCTGCGATTCCTCCAGAGTCCCCTCACTGTTGCTCACGTCACCCGGGCGTGCTCATGTCCGACACGCTCCAGCACGGATGGGCGCTCCCGGGGTGGGGACGGCATCCGATACTTTGGGGCCCAGGAGCTGAACTGATTTCTGACCTGAACTCCTGGTTTATTCTGGAAATCTCACCTGGGATGAGAATGAGCCTGACTGGGGCCCAGGACAGACGTAGGGGGGGGACCCAAGAGGATTGGGAACGGACAGGGATGCCCCCTCACCTCACACGTAAACACAAAGATGGGGGGCCCAGAGCAGTGAGCAGCCCTGACCGGTGTCTCCCCTGCCCCAGGTCCTCGCTGGGCACGTGGCCCTGCCTGGCCATTGTTCCGGGTCAGCCTCATTCCTCAGACAGCCCAGCATCTCTGGGGTGTACGGGGTATGGGGGGCCCAGGGCGGCATGTGCTTGGGGTCATGTCCTCCTCCCAGACCTCCGGCCTCGCTGTCGGCTTTGAAGATTCAAGGCCCATCTTTGGGATTCTAACCCCGCCTCGAGGCTGTACTGCCATGTGAGCAGAGTCCCAGAAAACTAGAGGCCTCTGCTCTTGGGGACACTTACCAGGTTCACCAGTGGTCCCCCGGAGTTCCCGTACTGCAGGGGGAGGAAACGCGACATGAGCCCAGCCCTGAGCCCACCCGAGGGTCCCCGAAGCTCTGTCTTCCGACCCTCGTTCCACCCAGCCCAGAGATGGGTCATCGAATTTCACCCCCAACGGCATCGAAAGGCCTCACTGCACCCCCATCTCACAGGTAAGGGAGCCTGGGCCCCAGAGGCCACACGGACGGCTGTCAGATGACCCGTGCACCCCACACAGACTCATAGGCTGCCTCCAGGCTCGCTCCATGGCTCGGTTACATCCCACCGGCCGCGAGGGTCTCTACAAAGGCTCACATTTCCAGAAGAGCCCGAACCACGGCAAACCCAGAAGGGTGGGCGCTCTGTGAGCGTGAAAGGTGCCCTCAGCTACAGTAACAATACTAACTGCGACAAAAGGAATGCTGGTGGGGGGGTGACTTGGGCAGAGACTCTCTGCGTCCCTGAAGGGCTCTCCCAGCTCAAGGGCAGCAGCTTCTAACCCCCAGGGCAGACCCGGCACCCAGGTGCAGAAGTCACAGGGAGTCCAAGCTCAGTTGAACGTAAAGAAGGAACTTTCTAGATGTGCTCAGTGATGGGGCGGGCTCTGGAGACAGGGACTCACGTTGATGATGGCATCCGTCTGGATGTAGTCCATGTCTGAGTCCCGGAGGCCCAGCTCCTTGCCGTCCCGCTGGGCCGTGCTGACGATGCCCGTGGTCACGGTGTTCTGCAGGGCAAAGGGGCTGCCGATGGCCACCACGAACTCGCCGGGCCGCAGGTCTGCCGAGCGGCCCAGTAGCAGGGCCGGCAGCTTTTTCTGGAGGGGGGACACAGGGAGGGAGGCTCAGCCGTCTGCCTTTGGTGGGACCGGAGCCAGATCAAGGCCAGGCCCCCAGCGGGGTGGTCCCAGGAAGGCAGGAGCAGCTGGATAGAGCTGTCAGGGGCGAAGGCCAAGGCAAGTCGCCAACTCAGACGGAGGCCAGGCTGGCCTCCAGCTGACCCGTAGTAGGAGAGACTCAGGCTGGAGTTCTTGCAAAAGAGGCTCAGCCGCTCTGTGACCAACCACGGGTTTCCCCAGGCAGCTGCAGGGGTCGCACACAGGGAGGATGCACAGAAGGTCCAGCCAGGCATGGCCTCTCCGGTCCTGGAGTCCAGAAGTTCGATGGTCACAGGTCCCTCTGAAATCTGATAGGAGCTATGAATACCATCCAAAATGCATCACATGCAAACTGATGATGCATACGACCAGAGTCTTGTGGGAAGCCTGGAGTCCAGGTGAGGACCCAGAACCCTACTGTTGGAATCCTTGATCCAGCTCAACCTGATCTCCCAGTATAGACACACAGGGAAACTGAGGCCCAGAGCCATAAAGTGACTTAGCCAAGCTCTGCCATCACCCCCTGCACACCAAGACACCTGCTCGCTCCATTTCCACGTGGAGCCAGTGGAGCCAGTCTGTCTGTCCACTCTGCAGCTAGACTGGGAGCTCTGGGAGCTGGCCGTGTTGGGTTTGCCTCCATGGTCTGGATGCTGCAGAGAGCATGCTCAGAGCAGGCACTCCCGAGCCCTGGTTAAGGTGCTGAGTGGACGCACCAGTGTCCATGACATCGACGGGAGCCAGGGCGCTCTCACCAGCACCCCCGTCAATCTGGGGATTTGGTGTCGTACCACTTACGTCCGATGCTACCACTGGGGTGGCCAGGTGCGGGGCACTACGTCTGCAGGCTTCTGGGGGTCTGGAATGACTTGCAGACACAAAGCTTTATAAGAAGCTCCTGGTGACCATCGTGCCCCGATCACAGGGGCCTCACGCTGGCTCTGGACAAGGACCGCCCACCTCCGACCCTCTGACTGCCCGATTCCATCTGGTGGGAGGGCGGGGGGCCTGGCACAGAGAGTCCCAGGCGGAAGGTGAGGACCCACAGGGACGACACTTCCATCACTGGCCGGCCACAGAGGGAGGGATGACAACGCCCAGGCCTTGGGGATGCTCTTCCTCACTGCACCTGCGCGGCCTAGGGCAGCAGCTCTCCCCAAAGCTGGGGGAGCTCCCACGCACAGGACTCAGGAGCTGAGGGGCAGTTCCTGCTGTCGAGGAGAAGCGGTGGGTGCTGATCGTGCCTGCAGGCACCAGGGCACAGGGGCCTTACGGATTCCACCAGCATCTGTGGCCACCGAGGGCCACCGGGGTGTGCCCCGCCCCAGGATTCGGCCGCAGCCCTGGGAACGGGAGAGACCCAGCGGCAGCCAGACCCGGGCTCCAGGCTGGCTCTGCATCATCCTGTGGGGGTCCTTGGCAGGGGCTGCGCACTGTGGCCCTCGGGCTGCTTTTGTAAATAAAGTTTTACTGGAACCCAGCCACGTGTTTGTATCACCTGCGGCTGCTGCAGAGTTGGGAGGTGTCCACAGAGAGCGCAGGCCCCACAAAGCCCGGGAGTATTTACTACCTGGAGCCTCACCGCAAACGCTGCCAACCCCCGCCCTTGAGCACGCCCCCTGCCCTGCCCCCCCCCCAGCCTGAGTGTCCTCATCTTTGGAAGGGACACGGCGTCCCCAGGCTCCGTAACTGCCATCAAAGGGTCAAACCTGGGGAAGGGCCCACGTTAGGGTCGATCTCTTCTCCCTTGATGGGGCAGGAAGGAACCTCCTC